GTATAAGATTGTTACAATATAGAGCAGTACATAGAAATTAGAATCAATCTGATTTGTATTCTATTTTTAAGTTTGAATACTCCTACATTTTCCAAACAGAATGTGACTAAAAACCTCTCTGATGTATCGAAAATTTAATGCGTGTATTTAATAAAGGATATTGTTCTCTCGCTCTTTGATTAATATGGTTAAGGGGAGCTTTTTCCATAAAATTGCGTTCATTAATGTTTGTAAAATTTTATGCAGAACAAACTATGTTGAAAAGCAGGAAATACCATACGAAACAAATTGGAAATTTGTTAATTGCCGTTTTATAAAATTCTGTAGTATGTTAGACTTACTTTATTTGAATTATTTGGAAAACTATCGTAGAATAATGAATTGCAGTGAATGAACGATATTAAAACCAAACAAATTGTTAGTTATGGTACACACGACCTTAACTCGCGTGTGAATTCTTGCCTTTCACGTGTTTGGTTAAACTATGGTTTGTATTGTCGAGATCGGGACGGAATACAAACTACAACAAGCTCACCCACACCCAATGGTACGGTAATGAGCGTCAGGGTGTTGTATTTCAGTTCAGATGATATTTCAGTTCTGAATCCAGCGGCCTGAATTCTAGCGAGTGCAATGGATTTGGTTTCACCGGAATGAAACGAACTGTCGCCACAGTGAATTAAAGAACAAGCATGTATGCACATATATTGTACATACAGCTTCTCATTCCCAACAAAAAAATACTAAACCACTTTTGTCTAGTTTCGCGATATTCGCATTGAAATATCTCCTAAACTAATACTATAATTTTTTAATTAGAACCATTCGTAGACTCGATAGTGTCTACAAGCTTCTTGGACCTCTCTGAGGAGCCCCAGAGGTGGTAGACACGCCACACGGTAGATGGCGCGATAAAAAAAACAGTAAAAAAACAAAATGTCCGGTCACTTTCAAACTTTGTTTCAATACGAACGGAACTATTTCTAAGGGTTATTTGCATTCGTCGTGAACGTTTCGTCCTGGAAATTTATACGTATTCAACGGCGAAGTTTTATCCGTTTTAAGATCGCACTCGAACTACTTGACACGGAACACGAAAAGTACATTAGATTAAAAAGTGGTTCCATACCGCCATGATATATTCGCGGATACGCGGGCACATAATAATTATCGATTCGACAAGGGTGTGCAATTACATAACTACTTCCCACCGAGTTTATGCGAAGCAATTAAGCTAGAAAATTAGTGCATTGAAATGCATCATTTACGAACCGAGATTTCCCCGGAGTGAATAGTAAGTCTTGTGAAAAACATAGGAACAACATCGTTAACTAATAAATAATCCCATTTTTTCTAACTTTTTTCATAGCTTATGGCAATAGTTTGAAGTAACTTTCAATAAACGTTAAATTTTCTTGCAAATATTCGCATTGCAACGCCTCTTCTTCATTAAAGGATTCAATCATTTGTTTGATCTCTTTCATGTGCAATGTATAAAAAAAAAACGATGCATTCAACTACGTTCCCCGCATTATTAAAATTGATTCTGACGGCAATGGAACGTTTTGTAATTTATTTTTATAAATTCCCACGCGTAAAACGGAGCTTTTAAAAATACTTTCTGTACAGTTAATATTACTTCATTCGCTCCCGCAAATTGCAATCGTATTTATTCTGATATTCTATTTAAATCATGAATAAAACTTGTTATACGTAACATTTATTAACTGCAGGAAATTGCAATGTTATTTCTTGTATCTAATAGCAGGAGGAAAGGAAATCAAAGAAAGGAGGAAACGTTTCGAATAGTCTCGGAATTTTTACATATTTTTCACTAAAATTCGCGTTGTTTGCATTTTGAGACATTAAAATCCTCCAATCTATTCAGAAATTATGACATTTTAAACATACGCATTTTTGGGGAAACATTTCAGGATCAGACATTGTATTTTTGTTAATGAATTTTTTTCCCGAAAGTGAGTGAGATTTCGAGGGTATATCTATTCACCAAAAATGTTTGTAATTAACCCCCACAACCGAAAATAATTTTTTCAGAACGATTTGAAATTTTTTTTTTGCATGAAATTTCAGGGGAATCGGAATTTCAAGATCAGACATTATATTTTCGGTAAAGAATTTTTTTCTCGAAAGTGAGTGAAATTTCTAGGGTATGTCTGTTCACCAAAAATACTTGTATTTAACCCCCACAACTGAAAATAATTTTTTCAGAATGATTTGAAATTTTTTAATTTCGCATACACCTATTCGAATTTTTTTCTCGAAAGTGGGTGAGATTTCGAGGGTGTATCTGTTCACCAAAAATGCTTGTAATTTACCCCTGCAACCGAGAATAATTTTTTCTGAATGGTTTGAAATTTTTTTTTTCGCCGTAAAATTTCTGCATGTATAACATTGAAATAAATCGAGTGTTTTATCATTTTGACCAGCACTATAATTGAAGATGTTATGGTGATCTGCTTTTGCCGAGTCACACTCTATATTTTCTGCTCGTGCAATCATCATTGGTATTATCACGAAGTTATACTCATCTTCGATGCATACTAACTACGCGTGTCCTGTGATTTGATGTATAATATATTGCTGGCATACGAGGCAAGTCCAGCGCGGTCCATCCGACAAATCAAAGTTGTTTAAAACAAGGGTGGATGCATTGTTACGTGTTACAAACACAGCAATTTGTTGTTATTTTCTATCGACAGCGGAACGATATTGTATTGTCAACCGTAATTGTTCTAGTTTTAAATGTGTAGAATATTTTATGAACACGCGAGTCCATGGCGATGAATAATAATAGCGATAAGAACGTAACTATATTATTTTGCGATATCTAATCGTGTCCGTAGCAGTTTTATTATATCTTGTTTCTAACGTTTTTCAACAGAATCCAATTATATATTTCATACTATAGTTACAAAAGTGTTAGTTGTTGCAAAACTTTCCTAGTATTACTAGTTTTGTTAAAAAACAGACGTTTTCTTTGGACTTTGAAAATTAGCAAATGGTTTCTTTCTCGCTATATAAGTATAAAATGAAATATTCACGAAGCTTAAGAAATCAGGCCATAGCAATACTTTCCCCTTGTTACGGTCTCTAATCGCCAAAAAAGTAAAAATTACTATTGCTCGATCTGCATATAAATTATTTCCTTCGTTCCCAATATCGACAGATTCAAATGAAATTACTAATCCACGCCCGCCTAATTTTCTGCAATATTCAACGACATGTAATGTCACGTCCATTTCCATTATCAATTACTATGAATATTTTAGACGCGATGTCACGTCTATTACCATCGTCAACCGACACGAGCATTTCAGTTGTCTGAAACATTACCAAATAAAATTATTTTATAGCACGAAAATAATCATTTTATATTTCAGTAAAATAATTATCTGGTATTAGTCGTTTGATCGAACAATATTTCCTCAGCGATGATTGAACCGAATCCCAATTTGTAATCAGATTTAATGAAGCCTGCGGGAGCTAGGTCACGGTTGCGATGATTTTATTACTTAGATTCATTAAATGAAAGCTCGACGCGTTTTAATACCGCGAGAAATTCTTGAAAACGGGATTTCGTAAGCGTTGCTCGGCAACCTTTTCAAACGGAATCGAAGTTTGATGTTGGCGAAATAAAAAGGAAGCTCGCGCCGCTGGAAGATCCGCTTCCTTTTATGCGCACTTTGCAGACCTCGGTAACTAGCAAGCACAGTAGCATCCTTTTTCTCCTGCAGTTCTCTGCGCTCTAGAATATTTATAAAACTGTATTTTTTCGAAAATTCAACAATAATCTCAAATAAAATAAAATCGAACGTTGGCTACTTAAAAACAACTAAAATTTTGCCTTCTTCTTGTTTGCTTAAATAGCTTCTAACTTCTATTTCTTTAAGGAGAAATACGTTGATTTTCAATATGATCTGAAATATGGTATGTTTCTTCAAATTTGATCAAGAATGCGTGGAGATTGAAAATTTCAGGTTGGTTTTATGGTTATGACGCGCAGCTTGCATACAGCTCGGTTCTTTGACAATTTGCCGTTGCAATTGCGCCGGATTATAGGATATTCCGCGTTCGGTTCGAATTCCATTGCAGTTTCCGTTATTTTCGAAAATTACACGACCTCTGGGATCGGTGGTTCTTAATGTGTTTGTCGACCTAAGCGACTCGGTAAAGGGCTGGATACTAGGCAAATTGCATATTACGCCGGCGACATATGGCGTTCGTATCGGATGCAAAGCATAAATTGAATTTCACGTATTGTAGGACGGAGCCTGTAGTTCATTAAAAGCTTCGTGTACTTTGTCGGGTCAGTAAATTAAACAGGGACTGCTCGAGTTGAGCCGCGTAGAGGAGGCACATAAAATTAAAATGTTAACCCTCCCCTGGGATCGAATCGGGCAAGTCTCTTGCTGGCGAGCAATTTACATCTGTGGGGGGTTTCAACTTTTTAAAGGGCGCATTCCCCCTTTTAAACAAAAATTTTCGCCTAACGCGCTTCCAACCTTTTTTAAAATCTGATCATGGCGAGGATTCAGTGGGTGTCCCGTAAGAAACGGGCTCAGTTAAAAAGCGGTCAAGATACTCCAAATTATATATGCGTTATCAGATCAAATTTCGGGTTAGGTTTCAATTCAAGTTCGAAGAAAATTGTTTTCTCATATTGGGACAAATTGATACGATGTGACGTCATCAAATTTATCTTTCAATGCATTTTTTTCAATTTTCACTCGTGGTGTTTAGAGATGGAAGGTCAAAATATACTTGGAAGTGCTTTTTACTTGAAATAAAAATTTAAAAAAATTGAGACACTGAGAAACGTATCAACTTGTTCCAGTCTTTCCTGTCATGTACAGTGTTGGATAAAAATATGATATTATGTACACTTCTGCATCTCATATGTTTGAAGGAGAGGAGAATGTATATGTGTGTATATGTATGTTTTCGTTCAGCACTGTATAGATCCTCTTTTCTTGTCCAAGGATTAGGAAAACGGTGCAGGGACCCTGTGCTGGAAAGCATGCTAAGAAAAGTGGCGATCGCGGAGCAAAGCAACGTTTGTCGCCGCGACGAGCGAGCTTGGAGGATCCTCGACAGAAACGGTTCGCCAGCGACAGAGAGAGAGAGAGAGAGAGAGCGGGATCGCATTTGCAAATTGCGGTGCAGTTACGTGGAGTAAGTAAAAGTGCATGATGGAAAACGTCCGCGCGAACGCTCGACAAGTGGGCGCAGCCTCTGAAGTGTCGTCGCCAAGAAGCTAATCGCCGTCATGTCGAACGAGACTAATACGACGGACGATTTTCTCGACTACGACATCAACGAGTCGTTCAGCCGCTTCGACTGGGTGGAATTGGGGCCCGTTCTCGCCGTCTACTCCCTCACGTTCATCCTTGGATTAGTCGGTGAGTGCAGATTCCTATCACTACTGCTGTCCACGTACTTGAGATTCAACCAAAGCTCCCTGACATAATAAAAAAAAAAAATAACAACAACAAAAGCACACTGGCTCCAGCAAAATTAAATTTTTTATCCTAAAAATATACCTTCATGAAAAGGAGAACCATGAAAATTAATATAAACTTTCCCCAGTATGAATTGAAATCAAAATATTATATAATTGATTAATGTGTACAAAAATTTATTTTATAGTACATTAACTGTGACTACTACCCCAATCTGTTTTTTTATTTTCATTTTTGCATCGCTTATCTCTTGATGAATCTTTAAAGACGCTAAATGTCTAAATGCACGGCAATTGATTGAAAGATGGCGCGAATAAAATCGAAAACAAAAGTAATACATAAATTGAACCGGTTCAATTCGAACAACTAAGTTCAATTTAAGCGACTCGTACGTCAAGGAGTCTTCGCCACGCATACACGTGACCTCTCTATTACGTCCAGAGATTTATTCGTCGTAGCGTTATAAAATTGTCAAATTATGTCATAAGTTTATTAAATAATAATGCGTATTACCCTTTGGGTCGTAAACCTGCCAGCTGCGTGCTCTTCGTATTACATTGAACTCCTTGAAATTAGATTCTACCGTTGCATTTACTAGCACGAACGTCTGGAAAATTACGTTTTCATTCACGGTAGTTGTGCAAATGCAATTTTTTTTTTTATATTTCGTTCTAATTCCGGTTGTCTGATCTTGTCGCCTCGGGTTCGCGAGCATGTACAATCAGTTTCATAGCGAGAGTCGTTGAGCGTCGTTTTTGCGATGGATTTCCTCTTATCGTCCCATGTCGCTCATCAAGTTGTATCACCATGCTAAACAATTTTTTATTTAAAGAGCACCGCCGCGATAATTGCTTTTATCAACGACTTCCTGGATTCTGTCATTGCCACTCGTATAACATTCATCAGATTGGAAATTGCACGCGCGACAATTGCACTACGATTTTTACTTTATTCGCTGTTCGTTTTAATCAAACTAGCAGTTTTCTATAAAAACTGAAGAAATTGGTTCTTAATTCGGGGGTTCACAAACCCCAAAAAGGTCGTAGCTTGTACATAGAAACATTAAATATGTATTCTCAAATATTTCAAAATATCAACTTTATTTTTTCAATGTTTCAACATTAAGATAGCTTCTCGAATAAAATAAATCGTTCGATTAAATGTCCCGAACTCCCCCACGGAGGGATTATAAAGCTTCCTTAGTTAAGCTGCTGATTCAGAAGAGAAGGCTAGAGGCTGACGTGTTTGCAAACTTTCAACTGTTGACAGAAATACTTTACCAAGACGTAGTTAGGACCCAACATTCTCTAACAATATCTTTAAGGGACGGAATTTGCAAACACCTGAAAGTACCTGAGAATCAATCTTCTTCTCTCTAATACAACATTTTCAATCTGATTATTGCAAAAATCAACTACGATCATCCGTGAGGCTTATACTAAGTCGCGTTATCAATCATGTTCGCGATAGATCGTCAAAATATATTCTCAAGCGTAGTTGATGCAAATTGTCTTTCGGAATCAAGATACCCGTGGTGCATGCAAACCACCAGATGCAATCTAAGTTTAAGTGCTCTGCAAACATAAAGTTTGCTGTTAATATTGTTAGGGAATGAGAGGTATAATCTATGAAGCTGGATCTCCTATATTTAGAAGAATATTCAAGCAGTCGAGCTGTGTACTGCGATTGTTATGCTTGCTAACTCTTGCTTATTATACTACAAATCTATCCATCGATCTTACCAATCTCTAAAGATTGAAAATATTTCTAGTAATTTATACATTTCTACACCCACTGTATTTAGACACAGTTGTAGAAATTCATTAATTCATCATTAATAATACCTCGATCACTTTAACTCGATATTGTGCTCGTCTAGTCGACACTAATCGATACCTTTGCGGACAATTTAGTGCAGAGGTTGCACAGCGGGGGCGTGTTAATTATCAAGTTTTAATGAGAAATGGCTGCAGCGGCGTACTAATTTACAGTTTTATTTCAGGGAACGTCGTCATCATCGCTTCCACGCTGTGTCCGAAACTAAGACCTTTGCCAGCAACACCGACAAACGTCTTTTTAGGCGGTCTAGCAACGGCCGATCTTTTGCTCATAATCTTCTGCATTCCCGTGAAGGTAAGCTTCTCACAAAATTTTTTTCCCAACAAGCTGACATACCAAAAAAACGCACGATTTTTATTTCAGTTTCAATTGCTTGCCAGTACAAAACTGTTTGATATCTTTCTAAACGGTTGCGGGACGTTTTTGTACCACTTTGTAAAATTTACTCGAGAGTTTGAGTAAAACAGTTTAGACTGACAATAGATGGTTCTTTACCCTAGACTGGAGGAAGAATAACATACGTAAATGCATTGCTCATAGTCTGGAAATCGTAAAAGTATGAGAAACGCGGAAGTCAGGGAATTTAGCGAGGGCGATAGAAACTGCTGGGACATAAAAATTCACGAGCATGGTTCTAATATCGTAACCATTACCGTAGCATTTGAATAGCCGTGGAATATTCGCGTAATAAATTATTCGAGTAGTTCCAGCTCTAATTTTAACTCATATTTGTCGTTCTGACTGGCTTGTTAAGAGCCACCGTTGGCATCTTTTGTTCGTGGTAAGGATATCTCTCATCAACTATCAATAGCTTCATGCATGTGTATCAATTTCAAACGTAAACTTTCGGTTCTGTCATCGCGTGCAAGAAAACCTTGTTTCTATATTTTGGTTTGGTTTTGTACCTTTACACTACGTTTCAGTTTTTAATTTGAGCTTTATAAGTCACGTTTAGTATCCTAGTTCCTTTTTAACGACTGTATATATATTTGGCACAAAATTAAACAAGCGTAGTGCAATGAAAGTGTTTTGTAGTTTTGGTGGTGTTGCGAATACCGGTGTAGGTGGGAAGAAAAATGTTTTTCTGTAAACCTCACAGCTTCACTCTCTATTCGCCTCTGTCCTCGTCGCTCCTCCATAACGGGCGTCGTGCCGTTCTGGCCTGAATGGAAATAAAATCGAAACGTGCCAAGTTCTAAAATTACGTATCCAAGAATCGGCTCGATGCCCTCCGCGCATATGCGCGAATTTTAGGCCCGTTTTACACCCATCGAGGGTCAATTACATTTTGCTCGTAACGACTTTGATACTTTCCTTCGGGCCGGTTAAATTGCACTCGGTTACCCGGATTTAATGCACATTTAATTTATCTGCTTTTATCTCGTACAATCGTCTGGCCCGCCAGCGGCTGAGTTATTGCATGTTTTCAACGATAGTGGAGCAGTCTCCAGTAACAAGATTGAAATTTCCTCGAGAAATGTAATTCGAATTTATGGTGAAATCCGAGAATTTATTCGAGCGTAATGCGCCCGATGGATATTTAATCGAAACAATGGTTCGGAAATCGCGAAACGGACGTATGAAGATTGGAAGAAAGTAAATTTAATAAATAATAGCAGTTGTTTAGAATAAAAGTTCTTCGTGACTGTTCCAAAAATCGAGATATTATAACTGTTTTCGAGCTGTGGGTGGTTGTTAGCTGCTCGACAGTGACTGATCCAGTTAAAAAGAAATGAGAAAGTATTAAGAAATACAGAAGTTTTCGCCTCGGATGCAATTAATACTTCGTCGCTGTGTATTTTCGGGCGACGTAAATATAGAATTACTCGAATGTGATCGTCGAAAATTGTTGTTTTAAAGAGTTTAACAGAAACTCTTTAAAAATAGAATCGATAATTCGTGAATATTTTAATAATAATCGTCGAAATATTGTCGATTTTTGGATTACGTTATCTATTATTTTAGTGGTCGTTTATTTCGTGTCTTCGAAGCTTTAAATTTACTTTATTTCAAATACAGAGCAATTTTTGTAGTAATTTCATGTCCTCGAGAAAAAGTTCTCGAGAAGAAATTTCTCGTGTCTCTCAATTCTTACTAAAATTACCGCTCGAAGAACTTTTCTGGTATCCATGAAAGCCGAATAAGTTTACTCTTACAATCTGTACAGAAAACTGGGGAAAATTTTCGACCATTAATCCAAAATTGTTATTCTCTTTTACGTGTTAAAGAAGTAATATTTTTTATTACCTCGATTGACTAGGGATTACGAAATTGAGTATAACTTTTTACTAATTAATTCTACCAAGTACAAACTAAAATTCAGTCAAGTTTCAATTTCCTCTTCGACCATTTATTGTGTTTTCAATCATTAAATCGTTTATTGTAAAATTGTTGTGCGTTTTGAAATCAAAAGTGTGTTGATTATTTTTAACCCTTAACTGGTATCGGGTATTTTGACCAGGAAGTCAACAGTGACCACAATTCTCGAGCTGGTACATATCTTTCAATCACCTCTGACAGAAACGAGAGACGAGAGAATTTCTGACCGAAATTGAACGATCCGTGAGGCAACCGAAATTACTGACCGAAATGTATCGGTCAGGAATTTGCGACCGCCGCGCGAAACGAGAGAAACGATGAGTTGAGAGAAAATCTGAGACGTTTTAACCCGTAACCCCCGGCCGAAATAACCGAAAATCTGAGATGAACGGTCGAAGGTCTTAAGAGCTTGAAACCCTCGAGTTCGAGTTCGACCCTACCGAAGAAACCGGGACGATATGTTGTTTCTGTCGGACGCATTATCTGTCACGTTTGCGTCAGTGCTTGGACTCGAGTTCCTTGAAAATAAACGTAGTTGTTTGCAGACTGCGGATCATTATGCAATTACACCAAAGAAGCGGTAGAAATGCGAGATTTATTTATTTTTTAACCTAGAGAATCTCAGAATAGTCAGAATTAAAGATTCATACCAAGCAAGCTGCATGAAACTTATGAATTTGTCTCTTTTTTTAAATCGATGTAAACATAATTGATTTCTGTATACGCGAATATGCATTCTGCGCGAATGATTTTTCTTTTTATTCCCTGCATCAGAGTCCCAGAGTGTATTTTCTTTTCACTCTCCATATTTTGCTGTTATTATTGACCGTCGATAGAGGAAGTTGTTAATTTTGATAATGGTTACACGGTAGCTCGATCCGGAACGAAGCTGATTGTCCGTTATCCGTCGAATAATTATGAATAGTGCGTGTGCATCTACTGAATGCGCGGCTGATCACATACTTGTCTTCACCACTTGCGCGTGTCACGTCCCACGCGCGAAATTGTTTTCAACGTTAATGAACCTCTCAGAGGTTGAACCAATCCACGCCGGTGAATCGAGCCGCGACGTTATAAACATCGTTTCAAAATAGTTTCTCGAACGTTAACCACAATTGGGAAATTTGCAGGATAAGTGGGGTTAGAGCTGCCAGGATCCATCTACCTAAATTCTTGTTTCGCGTTAAGTTTTATGCAATTCCGGGAATGGAGTTATGTTTCCTGTTTCTTGGTCGCACGCTGGACGCGGCATCTCGAAGTGCCTTCCGGTTCCCTATTTTTGTGAAGTATAAAAAGTTTATGGGCGCTGAAGTTCAAGATGGAACTAAACTCGTATCTCTCTTTATTTGGCGCGCGAGATAGTTGAATGGGAGCAACGATTTAAAAAAATAATGTAAATAATGTAATGATATACAGTAATCCCCCCTATAACACGGTACTCTTATAACGCGATTTCATGTCCCTCGTAGAACACGTGTTTTCCCCCATATAACGCGGGGATTCCCCACGTTATATTTCTGTACTGTGAGATTCATAATGATTTGTGCAGTTCATAATCAATTTCGCGTATGTTTGCACATTGTGTCAATTGTGTTCTTATAAAATTAAATTAAATTTGTGTTTCTAGTTTTTGAATTGTGAGAACATTGATTATACATATACCTGTGGCGCTACCGTGTTATAGGGGGGATTACTGTAATTTTATTTATTAACATCGATACAAATAATACAGCGTATCAAGTTAGGAATATTTAAAGAAAGTCTAATACTAGTAGACTTTACATTTAAGAATGATTTTTCTTTTCACCAGATAAAATAATAAAAATAGAAATTACCAGATTTAGATGATACGGACGAATTATCGATACGGGCTGCTTCAGAAGATAATAATAGAAAAAAAATCGTCCAGAAGTTACAACACCAGAGAGAACATTATTTAAAGGAGTTTTATAATAGAACCGGAGATCCATTAATTTGGCGGGAGAGAACACCAATTTAAATTTCCATGAGTGAAATATTTTTAAATGTCGCGAGTCGAAAAACAGAGATAAATATAGGTCTCAAGGGCGCGTTGATCTTATGGACTTTAAGCAGATTTAGTGTGCCAGAACGCCGTCGAATGGTATCGGTGATGTTCAATGGCGCAAATATATCCCATTCCCATGACTTGTAAATCGTTCAAACGAATCGTGTTGCGGATAGCAAATTTTCCGGACGAGAAGCCCTTAACTTCGCGATTTACGAGTATCGCCATTGACGTTCGCGCCGTTTCCACCTTTCTATCGTTTTGTCCCTTGCTTTGGTGAATCCGTTAACGGCGGTTTTTTGGTCGAAACGAATCCCCCGTTGAAATGAAACGTTAAATGTTGCTCATGGAACGGCCTGACGTCACTCTTGGCAAACGTCCTTGGCACCGTGACAAACATTTGGAAAACACGCATCCCCGCGAAAGTTTTTATTCTGTCGCGCGAGATCCGCATCCATTGCCTCCTTCGTCAAAAATAAAATCGTTACGTTTTAGATTCAACGGACCATCGTCCTTTGTTTAAAGCGACGGACGAGCGTTCCTCGTTGAATATTTACGCCGGAAACACAATATTGCGCAAAAGTTTCATAAAAGCTCCCCGAAAGGCGACATCTTTTTCGAACGAATTTAATCTTCACAGATGTAGTTGAAATTATTTCTTTTAACTTTTCAAATCTATAAGAAAATAAAGGTATCGTGATCGTAAACGTGTCAGGAAGATAGGGTACAAGAAATATTTTCTTTTAATCGTGGTACTTTTCTGTTAAATTAAAGGAAAATATATATAGAGACAAAAATTATAAATGTCGGATGTAATAAAATTTATTTTATTTAATTTTATTGCAGGGTGAGTGTAGATGAGTGATGAAGCTGGACGTGACGGTTCTACGTGTATAAATAAGTCGATAAAAGAGAATTATATTTTTCCCCTTTGGGGATTTATTTTTGA